ATGGCAACAAAGATGGCACATGAATCTTGATGTGCATGGAAGCTAGGGTGGAGGGAGTGCAAGATGAGTTGGCCACCGCCCTCTTTAGGAGAGTCATCTCGTCTCTCATCTCATCCAATTGCGCTTGAAATCTATCTAGCAAGCCCTGTAGGCTACTTTGGAAAGGCCCCGCTCCCGAGTTTTGTATGGTGGTGTGCATGTCTCTGAAGGCGCCATTGAAATGCCCTTCTAGTTCTACCACTGCATTCTCAACAGTCTCTAGGTTGAGGTGGAGTTCATCGACTCGATCTTGGGTTTCTCCCACTGTCGCCTCACAACGTAGGATGCACGTATATATATATATATATACACTAGATAGATAGATACAGTAGTAATTAAGCACGTGCATTGCACGTGGAGATTTTGAATTACAATATATATTCTTTTGATTATTTGTACTTTTTTATCTTTTTAAAGATTTATTATTTAACTATCATATCATCGATTGATCCATTTGACCCAAACCACTAACCCACCACCTAAAAAAGAAAAATGTTTGATTTCTAGGCTAACATTAAATTTTGTATTACATTTCCATTATTTATAAAATTCTTCCTTATGTATAATACTTATATTTTTATTTTACCAAAAGCTACTTATTTTTTTAATATACTAAATGTATAATATTAGAAATGTACCCAGTATTTTATTTTTTATAAATATATAACATTAGATATGTGCCCAAAATTTTTTCTTTTTCTGTGATTCTATTTAGCTTATATTTTTAAAAATTTTAATATTTGACCATGACATTATTTCATCTCTAGGTTGATTGTAAATTTGGCATTCCATTTTCATCATTAATAAAAATACCTCTTACATTTCATACTTATTTTTGTTTAGTATAATGAATATACAATATTAGAGATATGTCCAACTCTTGTTATTTTTTTGTATAATATATTATTTATTTTAACTTTTAATTATTTAATCATGGCATTATTTATTAAGCCATTTGACCCCAAATTGTTGAATTGTTTATCCACCACTTTGAGGGAAAAATTGATTATTTTTTCAAATTAATTTTCAAAATATTTATTTAATTAGTAAAATTTAATGATAAAAAATATATATCTTATATATAGGATTTAATGAGAGAATATATCTTAGATATGAAATTTAATGAGAGAGAATAGGAAAATAGTTTTATTTCTGTGAGCTCCGGGAAGCTCATGGCTGGCTCAAAGAGATGGAGTCGCCACCCATTTATTAGATAAAATGCGCCCTCACTTTTAGATTAATTTGAAAAATCGGTTTACTTGCCTTGATAATGACTCCGTTCTTCACCAAGGAAGACACCTAACCAGGAGATATTGGATTCAAAGGATTGGGAGAGGGAAGGTGTTAGGCACCTCTCTCTCTATGCTATTGTAGCAGCCCTAAAACGGGAACAGTTCAAGGTCAAATTCTGACAAACACCAATTAACTAGATTACTCAAAGTTCCTGAAATCTGGCAAAAAATTCCCAACTTCGCTTATAATTGATTTGAGGTGATGTTATTGGGTGTTAGGTACTAGTTTCCCTACGACCCTTGCCTCTCTACCTCTTTTTCTCAATCTGGAGGAAGCTGGGAGTGCAAGTTTCCCAAGATTTTAAGACTTTAAGCAATCTAAAACTAAACTAAAAACAGAGAGATGGTGGAGTGAGAGGCTTACCTCTCGTGCACGATCTTGAAACAAACTTTCCAGTAGCTAAAAGGATTCCGAACAAAACTTGAGCAAGGCATGGAGTTAGGCTGAACGTTTCTGGTGTTGAGTTTGGAAAACAAGGGATGATGCTTGAGCTTGGCTTCAGGGACTTCGGGATTTTAAGCAAAATGGGTGTATTATAGAAGTTGGGAAAATTGCCCTCCTCAAGCTCGAACTGGGCCTCTATTTATAAAGGAAAAGAGAGGGAGATGGGTCTGAAATTCACACATCTACAATCTATGATTCAGTAGAGCTCTTTCATTGAAATAAGCAAATATTTTGAAAGAGAAGGGCCTGTAATTAACCCTTCCTTCTTTATGCAACAAATTTTCTTGAATTTAGAAGGTTTCTTATGGATTTCGTGCATCCAGTGAGGGATTGGGGCGCACCAGACGTTGCAGCCTCGTATTTGGGGCTAACAATGGAAAAAAAAAGTTTAAATTTAATGAACTTCTAAATGGGGTTTTGTCCTTTCTTTGTTTTAAGTGGGGGTTTGCTTGGTATTTTGAGTTTTTTAAGACTATTAGGATCCAATTCATTGGTCCAAGTGTTTCTTATGGATTTCGTGCATCCAGTGAGGGATTGGGGCACGCCAGACGTTGCAACCCCGTATTTGGGGCTAACAATGAAAAAAATATATATAAATTTAATGAACTTCTAAATGGGGTTTTGTCCTTTCTTAGTTTTAAGTGGGGATTTGTTTGGTATTTTGAGTTTTTTAAGACTATTAGGATCCAATTCATTGGTCCAAGTGTTTTAATGGGTCAAGTAAGGAGATGGCATCAGTCTCCACCCTCTTATGATCCTAGGTTGGACAGCTGATGTGGCGATTTAATCTGGTGCGTTAAAATGGTATCTCCCTAATTCAACGATCAAACAGATGAATGTAGTCATGAAATTTGGCGTATTGGGGTTTTTTGGGCCTCTGAACACAATGGTGAGGTCTGATCGGAAAAATAAAGTTGGGATGATTGAGATCTATTGCTGACAAGTTTGGATAAGATTTACTAAAATAGACACTTTGTTTAATGAAGGGTCAAACGGGAAATTTTGGGATGAAATTTGGTGGGCAGGCATTTTTTATCATCTTGAATCTGATGGAAGTGATTGATCTTTGATTAGAGGTGTAAATTGATTGATTTAGTTCAGATCATGGTCTTAGCTCAGGGTTTTCCAATCAACGAGAGGATCTAAAATGGAATCTTACTTTTTTGATGGTCAAATGGAGGTGTTTGGTCATGAAATTTGATGTGTTGGGGTTCTTTGGGCCTTTGAACATGGTGGCGGGATTTTACTGGTCAAATAAGGCTTAGATGATGAAGATTCGTAATAGGAGAGCTTTTGAACAATAAGATTCCTTAAAACATAATCAAGGCTTGATGTTGGGTCAAGCAAGGGAATTTTGGGATAAAAATTGGTGGGTAGGTATTGATTGGGCTTATGAGGCTGTTGGAAGGGTTTGATCGTGTTAGGTATGTGCAGATCACGGGTTTCAGGTTCAAGGAGTGTCATAGTGTTATATGCATCGAATATGGAATCTCTAATGGATGATTGGCTAAACCCAAGAATTTAGGGTTGAAATTTTATGTGATTGGTTGTTTAAGGATTTTGTTTTACATGATGGAGTTTGATTGGGGGTCAAGTATGGTGATGTGGCACAATCAAAACCATCAAAAGGGAATCATGTAGATTTAACGGTGGATTTGTGGGCATTCAGGATAAAATTTGGTTTCTTAGGGTTTTGACATGTTTTAAAGTGACTAGCATGATCCGATTGGGCATCCGGAATGTAGGAGATGGGTCAAAGAAGGGACCGAGCAAAAATTAGGTGCTAACAATTTCCAATTGGTTTTACATTTTACATTCAATTTCCATCATTAATAAAAGCATTTTTATTTATAATACTTATTATTGTTTAATATGTCAAATATATGATGTTAAAAATGTTTCCAATTTTTTCTTTAATTCCTATATTTTTTTATTTTATCTATTTTCTTTATTTTATTATTTAATTGTGGCAACAAGAATTTTTATTTTAACAAATATTTTTATTTAATATGATGAACATATAACATTAGAAATGTTCCCAAATGTTTTCAACAAAATTCTATACTTTTTCATTCTTTGTCTTCTATATTTTTAAATATTTTTTATTCAATTATGACATCATGAATACCTTTAAAAAGTTGAATCGTTGACCCACCATCTAGATAAGAAAATAGCTTTGCTTTCGAATCAATTGTAAATTATATATTTCATCTACATTATATAAATATTTTTTACTAATCACACTTAAATTTTTTTTGACCTAATTAAGATTAATTTTTTATCTATCATATCATCCATTAATTCATTTGACCCAAACCACTAACCTACCACCTAAGAAAGAAAAATAGTTTGATTTCTTGATCGACATTAAATATAATGAAAGTATAATATTAAAAATGTACCTAATATTTTTAATTTTTTATAAATATATAACAACAAATAAGTGCCTCAAAATTTTCTAATTTTTTCTTTACTTTTGTGATTCTTGGTATCTTTTATTTCTAAAAATTTTCTTATTTGATTGTGGCATCATTTCGTTTCTAGGTTGATTTTAGATTTGACTTTCCATTTTCATCATTAATAAAATTACATTCTTACACATAATACTTATTTTTGTTTAGTATAATGGATATATAATATTAGAGATATACCTAATTCTTTTTTCTTTTTTTAGTATATTGATATTTTATTTATTATTTTATTATGGCATAATTAGTTAACCCATTTAACCCAAATGGTTAAATTGCTTATCCACCACCAAGAGGGAAGATAAAATTGTTTTATTTTCAAATTATTTTTCAAAATATTTTTTATGCTATTAAAATTAATATTGTGCATTTAATTAGTGTAATTTAATGATAAAAAACTAGATGTTAAGTCCATGATTTAATGAGAGAATATACCTTAAATACGAGATTTAATGAGAAAGAATAGGAAAAATAATTTTATTTTCAATTGGTTTTAAATTTTATATTCTATTTTCATAATTAATTAAAACATTTCTTATTTTTTATAGTTATTATTGTTTAATATGTTGAATATATTATGTTAAAAGTATCTACAATTTATTTTAAATTTCTATATTTTTTGTATTTTATGTATTTTTAAATTTTATTATTTAATTGTGACACACTACAGAAAAATGGGCATTAGCGGCAGTTTTTTGACTGACACATGTGCGACAGCCGCTAGAAATTTTAACTTCCCGCGGAACCTAGGCCCTCCCTCCTCCCGCTTTTATAATTTCTCACCCTTTCATATCTCCGCTCTCCTCTCTCTCTCTCTCTCTCTCAGTCAACCATTTCTGATTTCTCACCTGCAGTAACATCTCTCTCTGAAGCCCCGAGTGCGGTAAGACTGGGAGACCTCGAAGCTCGAGTTCATTTCCCAACGCAACAGGCCACAATCTTATTGATTCAACGAAGGCCCTCTCTCTGCGTCATTGGATTTTCTTTGTTCCGAAACAGCCTCCTCGTCTCAGGTTTGAGTTGTTTATCTCATCCTTCATTTTTCTTCGCTTCTTCAAATATACCTCATCACTTGTTTTTTTCATGAAATTGGAGAGTTGGAAATCTGTTTTGGATGACAGATCTCTAAACGACACAAACTCCTCCCACCGGTGGTCGATCGCTCAGGTAAGGTTCAATCTTTCACTTCCGCAGCATCAACTTCCATTTTGTGTTTTTATTTTATCTTATTATTTCAGTCTTGTCTTTCAAAAGCGACATTACTATTCTATTCTCATATATATCCTTTGTTTCAAGTGTTGTGATTTTCAGTTCCAATCGTCTTGTCTTTCTTCACTTGTTTCTCAACATGTTTTATTCGTTCTCTTACAGAACTTCATCTCACTTCCTAAATCTATTTAAAAGCTCTTGGGTTCAAGGATTTATCTCACTTGAGGTTCAGGGGTTGAAGAGTTCCCTATAATGTAATTCAAGCACGATGACATGCTGATGATCACATTCGTGCAACTTGAGGATTGCACGAGGATAGCCACAAGAGCCAACTCCGTCCCTCTGGGTGCCATTTGAACACACTGGATATGTTTGAACTGAGGAGATGGGAGGCCAGAGAATTTGATCGGAACTGGGTTGCAGAAGAAGAGAGGAGTTATGGTTTATATAGGGATAATCATGAAGAACAGACAAACCCAATGCCAGCGTTGCCGTTGGTGGCCAACTTTTCCTACTTGTGAACGGTTTTTTTGGTGTAACAACCAAACCTCATTAGATATTCAAAATAGCAAACTTAAGACAGTTGGAACTATGCATAGTTAATAGATATTTAAAGCGGAGTTGAAGCTATATTTTTATTGGAATATAGTTAATTAGTTAAAAGTTGTTGATGATTTGGGAAGGAAAACGTTTCTGAGGCAGGGTGCTGATCTGTGATAGCCAGATTATAAAGATAAGAGAGAGTCAATGAACATATAACCTCTATCATATCTTAATATTTTCATTTTGTTATTTTATTATACAGTGTACTAGTCGGGGACCCATGCGATCCACGGCCTTGTTAGGCAAGATTGAAGTAGAAAGAGCCTTATGACATTTTTAATTGAGCCAAGTCAATCCAAGCCAACTCAATTACTGTTAAATGGTCAAGATGCTCATCTCCTCCGTGTAGGTTAGGACCATATCCAGTCTACCCCTCCCAAGACCCCTGATAGCTGGGTGCTGGGACCAACATTGGATAATGGCCTTTGTCACTTGTTAAGATTAGCTTTATGTACCTTTTATGAGGTTGACTGTGCCATAATTATTTTGCTCTAAAATGTAAGCCTATTAATGCATTTTATTAATTAGTTTTCTGTTATTATTTTGTGTTCTTTGTTTGACTTCTTTTTTTACTGGTATTTTATTCTTAAAGTTCGTCCAATTATAAAATCATAATCTGTTTGAGTTATGACTCCAGACTGCTGCAGAGTATGACCAACGTAGAGAGAATTTTATGAAGGAGCTGGATTTTGTCTTAGCTGATGTGGTATGCCCTTTTCTTAACAGGAAAATGAATTCTTAATTTAAAATTTGTCTGGTTATGTTTATGCTGGACTTTGTTGGACACTTGAAAAGTTCTTACAGGAATATTATTATGTTTGTATAGCAGAGGATATATATAAGTTTATTAAATTAATTTAGATGGTTAGGTCCTGTATTAGAAGAAGAATGTCTATTACAATAACCCGACTTCCACAAGGAAGTGCGTGAAATAGGTTAATTTTCTTGGATGACAATTTACTGGTCTGATTTCATTGGTAGAATAGATAATTGATAGCCAAATCATTGTTGCATAATGACTATTAAATTACCAAATATCCTTTATTACCTCATTGAATATTACCACAGTGTCAGATTCTGGTTATTTGGTCATTTGCAGTTTAAAACGTCAAAATATGATTATCTTTATGTTTATATAAAAAATGTGGATCACTTGTATGTAAGAGTGTCAATCAGACAAGTGTGCTCTCATTGAGTAAGCCATGGGGTTCCTACCATGTTTCTCATTCATTTTCAAGCTAATGAGTAATAAACACTGTAAAGTGACCATAGCTTACTTAGTAAGAGTGCTCATAATATGGTTATCTATATGTAATGGAATTTGGGAAGATAAGAATATGTAGGTAGATTTTTGGGTATCTATTTGGGATTCTATAAAGGGCTGATTTGGTTTTAAGGAATTGAAATTTGGGTAACTGAAGTGTAGGGGTGGATTATATGGAACCTTGGGGACGAAAGGTGAAAAAACAGGTGAATAACTGCAAAGAAAAGAAGATAAGAAGAGCTCGAAGAACCAATTAAACTGCAAGGGACTGAAGGAAAAAAAGAAAAAAATGGCAAAGAAGAGGAAGATGTATACATCGCTTACCATTAATTGGAAATCTCAATATATTGATTAGAACATAACTTTATTCATCAATTTAACTCTGAAGAACCAAGAAAGTACATAAAGAAGGTTTAATTAAAATAAATTTTGTGAAAACTCCAATCCTGTCATCCTTTGATACTATGCTAGTAAAGTGGCTATAGCTTCTGAAAATTGCAAATCACATGGAATATGCAAGGTCTTAGTTTTGTTAATTGGTTATGAAATAACATTTTTAATGATACCAAACATCACACTGATGAGACAAATTTTGACCCCCTAACTGCGGAAACAAAAAATTATGGAACTGTAATTGGGAAAAGGAATTGGCAAACAGAGTGTACATGGTGCAGCCTTGCTGGCATGATTAACCTAATGACTTGGAGGTTTAAATACAGAATCTGAAAAAATGATGGGGAATAAATACAAATAGTCCAAAACATACAGATTTGTATGCATACAAAAAAGCCCTTATCTTGATAATTATTCTGGTTTTGTTCATTAGTTGAAATGATATTTTCTGAACTGATTTATTTGTTAAAAAACTGGTTTATTTATCTAGCTAATGCAATTTGTTTCTTAGTTTATGGCCATAATTGCAGATTTTATGCTTGTCTGGCTTCCTGCTCCCACAGTATCTCTTCGGCCACCTCTTGCAGTCAGTGCTGGATCTATTGCTAAGTTCTTCCACAGCTGTCCTGATAATGCCTTTCAGGTTACTGTTTATTTATACAGATATCATTGAATTAGCATTTTTTTTGGGTGGGGGTAGTAAGTCATTGAATTAGTAGATGTTTCTGCATACAGTTACTTGATATTTGGAATCATGTCTGCAGGTTGCATTGGCTGGAACATCCTATTCATTTTTACAGAGAATAGGAGCCATAGTGGTATTGTTGATATATACTTTATTGCTTTTCACCTACTTTATTGATTTTTTTTTAAATGCATTTATTGAATTAAATCACAAATGTTTAAAATATCATTTCCAAATGCATCATCTTAACTTGTGGTATTGGATCTTTTATGCAGTGTAATGGAGCCAAGCTTTTTGCAGTTGGAACCAGCGCATCTCTGGTATGTCAGTTTTCTTAGGAGACCCTTTGATTTAGATTTAACCTTTTATGTGGTTTTAACCACTGGAAACTGATATATTCTTCTGTAAGACTTTTATCCTTCGTCCTATTAATTTTTTTACTGTTGACTTTTCATAATGTTTTTAAGTTTTGAACCATATTAGCTTGTAAAAACAGAAACATAAGGATCAGTTTGGAATGAGTACAAATACAAATGTGTAGGATACAAAACCTTGTATTTTGTATGTATTTGCACTGCACATATTTATATTTATACTGTTTCCAAATTGAGCCTAAAGAATGCAGAGAAGGAAAACAGGATAGGAATATAAATTTTGTTTTAGCTTTTGTATTTATTTACTGGCATTTGATCAGGATTTTTTTTTTTATCAGCATTGATCAGGAAATTCTATTAAAGAAGAAAAGTAAAGTATGAACAAAAAGAAAGGATGAAGGCATATCGGACCTACAAAAGCAAGCAATCCCCTCCCCCTGAAGAAACATAACAGTCACTAGCCTATTTTTTAGGGGTGAGGGGGAGAGGGGGGGGGGAATGAATACAGCTCTTGCCTGTGAAGTCCCTCTCCTGCAAATGAATCCATAAGAGCATTTGTTCTTTTTCTTTTGGATGATTATCATAGAATTAGGAGCAGTGACAAAATCTTGGGGTGATAAGATTGAGAACATGGGTTCAAATCTTTGGGTGGCCACTTTCTGCAAAAAATGCCAAAGGTTAGATCTGTATCCAGTCCACCTCTCCTTTGTTCATATTTGTTGGCATTTCTTTATGGTTATGTTGTTAGGGTATTCTTTGTGGAACCAATATTTAGAAAAAGTCCTTTGAATGTTTTCTGTTTTGTATTAAGGCCTAAGTTCCATGTTTCTGTTGCTTTTAATATATTCTAAGGTATTTTTGATGTGTGTGTTTGTGTTGTTGAGGCTTCATCCAATTACTATTCTACGTACATTAGATTCTCAAGTTAATTTCTTTGGACATGATCAGGATTTTATTCATTGGGAAAGTAATATTGTTTCTAAAGTGAGTGATTAATGCTTCTTATTACACATGGCTGTAACTTTCTGTGCATTTCTGATATTTGAGATTGATACAATTCCCTTGTTCTCATCTATACTTATTTTGTTCTTTAAAGCACTTAGACTTAACAAAGTTCAACCCTCATTTTTATCTTTTCCAATTTTAGATTTTTTTGACATCATAAAAAGATATTTAAGGCTCGAATTGTGTAAATGCAAGTACATGATGAAAGTTGAATATTTTTCTTCCAGGTTGGCACAGGTGTAACCAATGCCTTGATTAATACAAGAAAGGCAGTTGACAAGTCTTTTGCTGATGAAGCTGAGGAAGTCCCTTATCAACCAGTGTTGCCTATGGCGTTTATATGGCCGTTTCTAGCAACCTTAGGTATGAAGAATGCCATTGTGTTTGCTTTGTTTTATCTATGCTATGCCATCTTGCAATCCTTGTTTTCAGTTTTCCTTCATCTGTAGTTAGAGCTTTTGCCAATCATTTATCATTCTATTTGGCCTTGTTCTAGAAACCTCGTATTCTTGCTGTAAGGGTAGCAATTTCATCCAGGATCACAATGTGATATGATTCACATATAAGAATGGGTAAAAAGGAACACTAATTGGTGGATTTTTTCAGTGTATTATATAGTGGTATAATGACTGGAGTTTTTATTTTTTGTCAGGATGCTGCAGTTATAAATCAATGGAGGTTCTCCAAGCTGCAAGAGTACAAAGATAGAAACATTGAAACTGAGGATAATCTGAAATCCTACTTGGAGTTAAAAGTCCCAGTTGTTTAATCAGCATGATAAGGCTAGTCTTTCCCAAAGTGAGGATGTTGAGACATCAAAGGAGAAGGCTTCTGAAGATGTTTCTACAACCAAGACATAGACACGGAGATGCAGAAGGTGACAGTAACTGGGTGGACAGAGAAGAGGAAAGTGCTCAAGGCAGTGAGGAAGACGAGGGGGAGGGCAGAGATGTGGCCCTACCCTTACAACCCGGAGTACCATGACTACATCCATCACTACTGCTACTTCAGTCAACAACATTTTCAGAGCCATCCATACACATTCTATGCCACCACCCGTGCTTGTATTTTTGTAAAGAAGAGTTTGGGAGAAGCCGAAGAAGTTTTTGTAAAGAAGTCTTTTGAATGGAGCTTGAGAAATTTGTATTTTTGAGAATGAATGAATGAATTAATGGAATTTGTATTTTGTTTTTTTTGTATTTCATTTCAATTTGGATGGTTGAATATAAAATGGCTTATTTGAAGCAAATTAAAATCTTGTTTTGTAATTAAAATAATTACAGGTTATTTTGAACGAATTTCAGGTTATTTGGGCAGGTGTGAAAAAAAATATAATAGTTTTAGCCGCAGCCGGTGCATCCCTATAGCGGCAGTCGTGACTGCCACTAAAACTATAACTAGCGGCAGTTTTGAAGCTTTACCGGCAGTCAGGAAAACTGCCATTAGAACTTTTATCAACAATTGTTTTAGCGGCAGTTTTCCGACTGCCGGTGAAACCTTTAGCGGCAGTCAAAGTCAATTTTCTTGTCGTGGCAACATGGGTTGGTCCATTTGACTCAAAATGGTTTAATTTCTTACGACCACCTAGATGTAAACACTATTTTTTTAGATATATTTTAAAAGTATAAGTTTTTATGTTATTGGAATTATTAATTTATTATGTATGGATTTAATTAATAGAATTGAATGATGAGAAGAAACAAAAATGCCTTAAATATATGATTGAATGAAGGTAAATGCAAGTTAATAACTTAAATGTTGGATTAAATGAGAGAAAATTCAATGCATTGAATATTTTAATTTACATATTTTCAACTCATTTAATTTTAATAACGAATTACCCTATTTTGCCCTCTTGTTTTATCAATAAATTTAAATATGGAGGGGTAAATTTTGTCTTGAGAAAATTTTATAATTATTTTTATGGCTATTCGTGCTTTTTAAAGTAGTGTGTGTATATATAATTAGGCCCGGCCCAGCCCATGCACATGCATGTTTCTCTTTATTTGTTTGTGTGTGTGTGCGCCAACACATGTGATGCCTGGGGCTGTCAATGGACTGGATATTGGTCCAATTTGATGCAGTCCAATATGAGTCCATTATAAATGGACTAGGTCTAATCTGATCCAATGAATGCTTTGGACCATTCTAGACTGGTCCAATTCAGTGTCTGGACAGTCCAACTGTTCAAATTGGTTTTAAGTTAGATTTGGTCCAACCCAATCCCAGTCTATTGACACCCATACTTTTTATCTTATGTCAATGATCAAATACTAGTTCAGTCCAACCCAGTCCAATATAAATCCATTACAGATGGATTAGGTCTAATCCAATCTAATAAATACTTTGGAGCACTAAGTCTGGATTGGTCCAATTCAATATGTCTCATTGGTCCATCCAATCCATTCAATTTGATTCTAATTCAGATGGGTCCAACCCAAACTCAGCCATTGACACCCTTATTTGGTGCCGAATTGGTACATTATATAGTTGGGTAATCCCAGCAAATATGGGGATTTGAGTCCCACTATTACCACTTATCTCCAAGTGTTATTAAAGTTGATGAAGGAAGATTTGGCCCGACCTCATAACCATTCAACACGTGGAAAGGTAACAGCTCAGCACAACAGTACGCCCAAGGCGCGAGCTCCGAAAAGAGGAACCCGCGGTCCGAACTCCCCACAAGGAGCCCGAGCTCTCCCTTGGACCCCGAGCCTTACGAACACAAAGGGCAACAACCCAAACTAGCCCGCCCCATGGCAGTTCGGGCCACACCTTTATCCGAACTCAAGACTTCACCTCGCACACCACTCCAGCACTTCGCCTCCAGGAC